GGCACAATCTGGCATATCATTATATACTGTAGGGCCGAAACATCCTTTGTTCCCCATTTTCTATTACTCTTTACTTTTTTTTCAAGGTCAATTGATTATGTATATAAAAGGTCTATAACATTTCAGAAATAAAGTGAGACATTTTCATCAAAGATTAGCTAAATCTGATAGATGCCAGTTGATCATGATGCTCACCTAAAACCTAATTATTTTTTGAAATTTTGTTTTTGAAGTAACTAATGTTTCATGGTTGGCATTCTGTCTGCACTTTGTTGCTTCCGTTTGATATGTGCCTATTCTCTGGTTGATTTCCCCCTTTTTTCACTCAGGTCCAGTAGTACAGGCTGACAGCTCACACACTGCTGTGGGTTCATCACAAGATAGGTGGACACAGTAAAGTCTGTTGTGAGGTGGGAAACACCAAGAGTGTTTTTCACCACATAGTATCTCCCTTTTCCATGTCTTTGTGTCTCTGCATTCTGTGTCTTGGTTGTCTTTCTGTGTCTGCTTTTTAGTAATTGTATCTTTGTGGTCATTTTGAATGCTTTCCTGGTTAATACCTACGTGTCTCTTCGACTGACATTTTGCAGGGGAAGGCCAGGGGGCCCTGACACTTTGGACTCCTGGGACTGTGCCTGGTAGGCCTGTTCAATAATCCGCCCATGTATTCACCTTTGTAGAAGTGACTTAGAAAACGCTTTTGTTGGCAATGGACACAATAACAATAATGTCATAATAGCATTTTCACAAAATAGGTTTGTTCTTAGTAAGGACCTGATAATGTAGCCTTTCTGAACTGTTGGGGAAATACATGTATTTCTACACATGTGTTTGTCTTCAAATAACATTGTTTGGAATTTGCACATGGCTTTCTTAGATTTACAGAAAACAACATTGTTAGCTTGGATTACTAATCTTAAAATAGATTGCAGTGGAGAATGTTTGTCTTTTGACTCATTATGTGTTTCAACCCACTAACGCCAGAAAATACTTTTGAAATCATCCCATAATGAAATGTGTGATCAATTATAAGCTGAAACTTGCCATCTTGCCTTTTTTGTGTATGAATACTCTCGTCTATATGTGATTTTAACTAAGGTGGGATGTAGAAGGTCCACATCTACTTTAGTACAATATTGATTTCCCTTTAATTTGATGGTACATTATACTTCCATAGAAGTAGTAGATGAGTATATGAGGGAAAAATACTTTACTATATTACATTTATCTGACAGCTGTAAATGATAGTTACATATTTTCACATCAAGATTTCATACATTAATAATAATATAGTATATATTAATATAGTATATAGAAGTAATATATATATATATATGGATCAATCCAACAGTATATACAATTGTTTACAAACGAAATTCTAACTTGACAACTAAACTAACTAAATCCTTTTAATTGAGTCATTTTGCATACTGTGTACTTTAGATACAGTAGAAGAGAAATTATTGTAAATGTACGTATAAATGTAAATATGTAAGTAGGAATAACTTGCAGAAATGATATAAAGGATCATCATTAATCAGCAGTAAGTAGGGGTGGGAATTAATAAGCATTTGCTTCCTCCTGCTCCCTTTGGACACATATGATTTATTATTATTATTAATATGAACATTTTTGTTGAATATATAAATATCATTATGAATATTTTTGTTGAATATACAAATATTATTATGAATATTTGTGTTGAATATATAAATATTATTACTATTTTTTGTTGAATATATAAATATTATTATGAATATTGATAAATACTGTGTATTGCTAAACAATACGGTATTTCTGTTTTCACATTTGTTTTTCATATTGGAATACTACTTTCCAACACTGATCTCATTTAGACCAACAATTTGGCAATACACCAATTAACCACATGTTATCTTGCTCTATGTTAAACGTAATCTAATGCAAGTAGTGGCAGAAGTTGTCCAAGAGTCGGCCGAGCGGGGCTCGAAAGCGAAGAAGAAGCTTTTTGTTGTAATCGGAACTCCGCTTGACGTGACGTGCGGAGGATATGATTGGTGGGCGGCTCTGGTATATATCCGTCAGGCTTCAATGCCCACCTTCTCTGCCAGTGGAATTTCATCTCCAGGCTTCTGGCACCCGTTCAGGGCAGACGAGAAGCATACAAACTAAGTAAGGTAATCCAGTTTTCTACTGAATATGACTGCACAATGCCGCTTACATATGACCTCTACGCGTCTTCTACATAGCGCGTACTGGCTACTTGTCGGAGAGCCAGTTTGTTGGTAAACCTGGAGCGTTTACAGTATGCTTCTGGGCATGACTGCCGTGATCATTTCTCCCTGCTCAGACCTGTATGCCCTACGTGGACTTAGCGAGCTAGTAGGATGCCAGACTGTAAGCAACCGGAGGCTCGCTAGCAGATGCTACAGTTTCAACTTGTACGCTTTTTACGCGCTCGTGTTAACGCTAGCTCATTAATACTTAAAATGATAGCGAGCTCCACGGGTTTGGAGTGTGGCCATTTAATTTCAATGGTTTTATCCTCCAAACCACCGATAGCCTAAGTCATTATATGCTGGCTACAGGCACGCTTGAAGTGTGGTGTGCAGGGGCTTTTTGGTGCGCGCAAGCTACATGTTAGGCCGAGGAGCTACGTGCACAGTCGCGCACAACACCACAGTTCAAGAGTTTTAGAAGTTTGCTAACTACCGAAGCTTTAGCTTGGGGTTTGAGCAAGTATTCCATGGCTACAGTGATTGTGTTAGCTGATTATCTCAATTCAACCAAACAGGCACACGCTTTCGCTAAACATTTGGCGTTAACATTACTGTCCCTTTTGGTCTCGATTTCAGTCCCATTATTATGGTTGTCAACGTAGGCCGACATGAGCGGCAGGCTAGCGTCCCACTCTGATGTGTCCTGGCACTGTCGGCTAGTTAATTTGATATCGTTTTGGCTAGCCACTCACACAAACGCAGGCTACTTAAATCCCTTAAATCTTGGGATTTTGGTGTAACGTTAGAGAGGCTCGCAAGGTTGTCATACTGCAGCTAACGTTAATGCAAAATGTAAATAGCTAGCGAGGCCACGTCAGCGTAACTTGAGCAGCGCTCATTACGATGAATGACGCTCGGAGAGATCGATAATGTAAAGCAATGTTCTAATTAAGGACGTTGTTTGATAGCTTTAAAAGTGCTATTGGGTTGCTTCCATGAGTTTGGAGCTCGTGAGCCATTATATGTCAGCGTTGAAACGCAAAAACTGCAGTAATGCCACATAGTACATTCAAGCAAACAGCCTGCTGATCACCTGTGTAATGTCACCGCGTGTCCTTCTTTTAAGCCATGGAGGGTTATCTGTCTAAGCATTTACTGCTGCTCTAAAAAAAAGAAAAAGCTTTCCCGTGGTTTTCACATAAGTACGTTGACTTTAATAACGCTAACAGGCCCATATCGTTACTGCCCATCACCTAGTGCCACCAAATCAGTAAGAGCTAGTACGTTGGCAACCTTTTGTGCGCAACTCCTGCGATATTGTTTACTGCACCAAAAAGGGACGCCTTACAAACATGGAAGCGTGGGCACAATTCAGCTCTGTAATTTTAAACCCCCATGTTTTACTTCATGTGGCAGTGGAGAATGGCCCATTCCATGGCATTTATGGTTATCCCACAGCAGCTTCATTATTGCCAGTCTGGTCTCGCTGTTTTTGACAGTGAGTGGCCCATTATAGGCAGCCAGATGCTTTCCAAGGAGAGGGGGAGATCCAATGGCACCGTAATACTGTTCACTGGAGTTCAAGTAATGCAGCTTCTTGGCCTTCAACTTTATCTGAAATTCTTCTCAATTGCTGCGATGGTTTGCAGTTTTATGAGATGGCATTAATTCCTACTACTCGATCTTCCCAATTAAGCTGCTACTAATCATCTAAATATATAACATAAGTTATACCCCTAGGCAACAGCTGCTTCTAATTTCCTCGCTCCTGAAAAGTTGAATTGGATGGTTTTTATTTAATTACTGATTGAGCTGTTAAAATGAATATAAACATTATTAGTTTAATTTAAGGTTACATGATGAAAGGGGCTAATCAGCGTAAGCAATATTAGCACAACACATCATACAGATATTTTTTAAAGGTCTCGCCACTGTCTTGGCCCCCAATTTCCACTGATCTAAAATTTCCATGGTTGAGGCTACTAAATAGATTCTAAACATTGTTCATATGTCCAAACTCACATTGGTTTCTCATCCCAGCATCTCTGTAATAGTATGTGTATTCCACTTTCTGTCCCTACCACGGCTTGTTGGAGGGCCCTGGCCCCCTCGCCTGTTGAGCCCAGGTGCTCTGATTGGATCAGCTCGCCCACGTCTGTTCTGAGGAGTCCTAGCCACCGTNGGGCCTTCGGTTCGGTACACGAGTGTACCGAACGAATATAACGTTAAACGTAAAAAATTGAGAACGCAGCACCTGAGATTACTTCCAAAAAGTTGTTCACGTTCTCAATTTTTTACGTTTAACGTTATATTCGTTCGGTACACTCGTGTACCGAACCGAAGGCCCCGTACCGAATAATTTCGGGTACGTGTACCGTTACACCCCTAGTAAACATACTCGGTTACAAGTAAAAGTCCTGCATTTAAAATCTGTTTTTCTGTAAAAGTCATGCGGCTCCATGTCAGTCTTGTATTTTTCAATAATTTCCATATAATGTGAGCCAATCAATGCGGAATTGTAGTAATTCCAGTGGCATAGAGAACACGGGTGCGTTGTTTGACCTCACAAAGCATCATAGTTATTGCCATGTTAAGTGCAGAACTTTAAACTGGCATTAATTCATCTTAGTTCCACCATCGCACGGTGAGTCAACTAAATACCACAGCAGAAGCAAGAGAATAATCTCAGTGTGAGACACACTTCTCCCTGTACACCTGCTGCAAAAAAGACCCCTTACTGTAAACATGATCAAATGATTGATGGATTTCTTTTGTTTTCATTGTCGTTTTTTTAATTTCCAGTAACGACCACAGCAGGAAACGGCCTCTGATCGTGTTTGATGGCACTTCCTCTCACTCTGGCCCGCTGAAAGTAAAGAAACCAGAGGGAACCGCCGTGTCACTGGGAGTCTCTGACAGGTTAAAACCTCCTCCTGCTCTGAACCTGTCCAACCCCATCCGCAAGATATCAATAAACACATCCTCCTCTTCCTCTTCATCATCCAGTCTTTGTAGCACTGACACAGCACATCTCAAACGCGAGGCAAACAGCAAGGTAGGAACCTTTAGTTCAGTCATTTCATGCAGAGTTACTGTTTTTACTTTCACAAAATAGGCAATTTTTGATATGCAATATATTGAAAAGACAATATAGTATGTATAAATGAACATAAACGTAGACCCATAAAATAGCAACACGAAAAACACAATTATATTCTTAAAGTTGCAACGAATTGACAAATGAGATCAAATCATTGGGCCAGAAACTGTAAGAAATAAAGTAATTGAAGCTCAAGACTTAATTGCAGTCCATGCTAAGAAAATAATGTGCACATTATTTTAAGGCAGATGCTATTTACAGCCACGTAGCTAACAATGCTATTGTTGGGTGTTGGCTGGGTGTAAATAGCTGCCGTGTGTCCATTTCCCCCCGGGTGCAAATAGACGCTCCGTTTTTTTTAATCTATATATGTAATTGATATTGTATACTATTGGATAGTAACCCATTGATCGATGTTATATTGATGTTTTGTCATTGCTTTTTGTAATGCCAGTTGTCGAATCTTCAATCTCTTCAGGATGAAATGCATTCTCCAGAATCGAAGAAAAAGATCAACCATGTGACGTGGCCCTGACCTCTGACCCCTGTTACCACAGACCTGATGGGAGCTCACACTCTGAAGGACAGACCGCTCTGCTCCCAACAAATGCTGTGGTCCAGTATCTGTGCTCTCCCATCACAGTCATCCCACTAATCACAAAAGAATTCCTCTATGCCCTTCATGTGTCACAGCCTTCAGTCCTGAGAGCTGACAGGTAGGCCGGTGCTCTGAAGACCCTCCAGCTTCTGATGTCAAACGTTTCCTTGTTGCTTTCCACAACCTCAAGTGCTCTTACCATCCGTTATCAGCAACTCTCATCAAGTCCATCAATTGAAGACCTTCTAGAGGACAAAACAAGTAACATGACTTTTGTTTTCTGAAATAACATTCATGGAAGTTATAATTGTTGTTATTTAGTTTTGGTTTTGATCAGAAAGCTTCCAGTACTGCTTTGAAAGGGGTACACGTGAGTGTGTAATGAGTTGAATTTAATCACCACAACTATTTAGAAATGTTTGCTTGCACCAGTTATCATTGTTATTGAGAAAAAAAGGTGCAAACCATCTGATGCAGCGATGGTGCTCTTGCAAAATACAAGATAACAGAAGAGAGAATTGATATCCTATGAATGACATATAACAGGCACACAGTCCACATCCGGCAAGTTAAACTATAATGTTGTTGTTGTGCTGTCGCAAAGACTACTGGATTGCTTTCCGTATCCTACTACTATCGACACATTTAGGTCTCCCTTGAAAAAGAGATTGTTGATCTCAATGGGATTTTCACCTGGTTAAATAAAGGCCACAAACAAACAAACAATTTAGCAACTTATGAAGACCATTAGGTAGAAACCAAGACCTATATTCCAATATGTTCTGTTTTTAATTAACTCCCAATGCTGCTTGGAGTAATCGAAGTGCACGTACTTCTGCCAACAGCCTAACAACCAATATGCAGATCAGTGTTTGCCGTCATCCTAAGCTAGTGCTAGATAGTAAAAGAGGGCTTCTCTGCATTTAGTTTTACCCGGTAACTTTGGTTGTTTCACCGTCAACTTCTACACTACTGCGGATAGTAACTGCAAACATCTACCATTGGTACTATTTGGTAACTGGAGTTAGCAAACGATAGAATATGTGGTGCTATCCTTTTACTGTTCTTTGACCAATAGTTGAAGATCTTTGTTTTAGCTGTAAATTGGCCTTTATTTTGATTGGATGGCACTTGGTGGCAGACAGAAAGGGCTTTTAGAAGAATCTAAATATCTAAACACTGATGGAGTCATCACTCTATACAAATTCAATTGTGGAATTAACATTTACTTATCATTATGGTGATAAGGGAAAGCAAAAACATGTGTGTTGCCATCTTAACTGGAACTGGGGGAATAAACAGATAATGTGGGACACTTCAGAAGGTGTGTGTGATCAGGTACTAAATGTATTTCTTCTCAATGAGCGCCTCTCCAACCATGTTTGGCTTTATTTAAATCTCAGTGCTGTAATACAAGATGTTCAGGGTTTTGACTCTAGTGTGATATTGTACATATGTTGCACTTAACATCTGAGGTACAATAATTTTCTAATCGTCTCGATAGTAATCCGCTGCTAAGAAATGTTCACATGTTTCAATATCATGTTTTAATAATTCAACAAAAGAAAGGAATATGGATTCAAGCAGCAATATTGTCTTTTTGAAGTATATTTATTTAGAATTGTAGATACAAGAGTCACACAGCATTTTTAGTCCATCGTCAAAAAGTGTCATGTTTGTACTAACGGTTTTTAAAATAAATGTCTCGATACAATGAATATTTTCTTGATTCTAATAATAGAAAATCTGCAGCTTTGTGACTCATGTCTGATATGCCGGTATGATAACATATACAGTACTTACCTTACTCTTAAACTAACCTTGTGGTAAAGAATATTAAATTCCTTTTAAGACGTCTAAGACTCGCCAATCTTGCATAGGTTTTGTATTAAAAGAGTTGCTTAAATAAACCCTTTTTTGTGTGAAATACATGTGATTTCGTGCACTGCTGCAGTAATCAGAGTAAAGACACACTTTAATATATTTAATTGGTAAAAGCACAACTCATTCACATCAAGCTAGTCCATGCACAAAGCAATAATTATTATTAACACATCAAAGCGGATAGGCTATATAATCATCGTAGATTCATTTCAAAATGCTTTATTCAGTGTCTATCTGCAAACTGGTTGCTGTTTCATATTCAATAAGCAAAGGTCTTCACATTAATGCCAACACTTTATTTGTGATAACTTTTCTTAAAGAGTTAACATTTAACATAAATAAACTTTCTAAATCCAAATAAGGCTGTTAGTAGTTTGTACTTTGTGGCATGTAACAATCCATAGTAATGCTAGGTTTTAAAGATGCTATGCACTGTGCTCTGATATAGGTATATATTGTATCTGTCATTCCTCTATCCTCTACCACCAGTTGGATGTGCTCCTCTCCTTCAGACTGATTTAGATGTCCTTGCCGCACTCTGGGCACAGGATGTCATCTCGCTCGGTGAGGAAGCCACGGCCAACCAGAGACACGGAGCACTTCTTACAGTTGAAGCAGTCGTTGTGCCACTGGCGCTCCTCGAAGGAAATGTACTTGCTGCCTCCGAGGCCTGAAAGGATAGGAACAAATCCAAACATTTAAGCATTTCATAAAACACTGCTTTTTCGATTCAAGTACACCCATGCATAATGAATTAAATTGTGCTTACCGCTAATGGGGGTGGTGCAGGAGGCACACTTCTTGGCATAGAGGTTGCAGAAGCAGTTGAGACAATAAGCGAAGTCATCCCTGGAGGTAAACCTCTGGCCAGACAGCTGCTGCTTGCAGCTGGTGCACAGGAAGCAGTCCTTGTGCCAGGGCTGGTCACGGTAGGTCACACCGCCAGTGGTGATCGGCTGATGAGAGGGAACAAGCGTGTCATATTGTTACACATACAAGTGGAATCATTGCTCCTTGAGTTTAGATGGAGAATTGAGTACTTTGTTCATACCTTCTTGCAGTGAACACATTGCATGGCGAACTGCTTCTCGTAGCAGGGCACACAGAAGTTACTGTTGTCCTTAGGGATGAAGCTCTTGGTGCCAATGGGCTGCTGGCATCTCTGGCAGGTGAAACAGGTCTCATGCCAGCTGTTCCCCTTGTGCTCCATCTTCCTGGAGCCTTCAGAGAAACACAACAGTAAATGAATGGAAGGAGTTAGTGAAAGGATGCAAAGACAACCAAAAGAAAGCATCAGAAACTTAGCCTAAAACAATGGGGACGGTATATTCCCATGGTGCTCAGACAGACATGTGTCCTGACTGATTGTGTTGTGGCAAATCAACTCTCACAACAGGAAAGAATGAAACAGAGAGGAATCAATAAAACACAAACAAATAGTTGAGATTAATCATTATTATTTAGTTGCGCACCACCAAACAACAATGGGGAAACATTACCTGCTCTCAAGCAATCATACAGCAATGCTCCCACGAATACAAGAAACACAGGGCAGGTATACATTTTCTAAATGACACACGAACACGTTCCCTAAACATGTTTAACACACACACACATTGTCAGTTCTCCTAAACTTTGACATGTTCCACATATCAAAAGGTCATCATCTCATGACGTCTTTAGGAGTCTTGCAGGATATGAATTATCCAATTAACAAAGACTGTTTGCACATGAACGCACATACATTTCATCCTTACATTAACTAACGCTTAACTGTATTATATCTAAATGTAGCCTCTTTGCATTTCCTCTGAGCTTGGCATCAGCTCACTTAATGTAATAATTAGCAAATAGACGATTCTCTAGAAACTGTAATTCAATAACATACCTAGTTACTATGAGTAGGTCCAAGACTAATATAACAATTGCTCTGCACATCTCACTAACAAAGTTACACTAATTTGTTACATATAGGTCAAACATAACAGAAACATTTAGGAGCCTTTAGATTTAAGGCGGTCATGTGCAAAGCATTCACAGACTGTTCTCTTTCTGACGCTCAAAGATACACCGTGACTGTTTTTGCTCTATAGCTCAGTTGTTTAGTTGATCCACAAACATTTCCCAACCCTCTGGTGGAATCAGTTTTTTCCTAAAAGGCTGAAATATGTGTTTGTGAAGGTTTGTGTTGAGGCCAATTGGCTAAATCAGTTTGTGGTGCTGAGATAATAAGGGGCATATCATCTAGTCATACCATGGCCAATCTGTTGTACATTAAAGCATCATTGCATCAGCATTGATCATTTTTCATTTGCAACCTACAATTAAGACCCGCCCCCTTTTTATAACTCTTGAACCCTTTGTTGTGGTCTCCCTAGATCAGTGCTTCTCAAAGTTGGGGGCGCGCAGAGGCATGCCAGGGGGAGGGGGGAGAACCACTGCCCTAGATGCATGTGTCTAGTCGTTGCACAATTTTGAGTTTGTGCTTGTTTCATATCAGAAATTGGATTTTCCTACGTGTTGCGTCTACTACCTGTGGTTAAACTTTAATATGTGGCACTTTTTCTGTCTTCCTACCTGGCATGATGGTTTTCTTGCAATGGTGGCACTTGGAGGAATATTCATTGGAGTAGCACTCGGTGCACAGGAGCTTTTCATCCTTGGTGGAGAAGGGCTTATCCACCAGCGAGCGCTTGCACTGGAAGCACATGAAACACTCCTCGTGCCAGTGGCGGTCCTTGTACGACAGATCCTGAGAGAACATCAGACAGATAGTTAGAAAGAGCCTGCTTTGATGGTTTTAAGGACAGAATTAAACAGAAAGCGCGTGTTGTTGTGGCTCGTATATAAAGTGTATTTTGTGACATCTCTTACCCTGGTGTTGCAGCCAATGGGCTTCTTGCACTCCTCGCAGGTGTTGGAGTAAAGGCTCTCGTAACATTTCACACAGTAAGGATTCTCCTCTCTCAGAACATACTTCTTCCCAAACAGGGATTCCTTGCAGTAGTGGCAGTCGTAGCGCTCGGTCATTTTGAACCGGAGTCACTCACCTGAGAGAGAGGAACACACAAAGCAACAGACACTGAGAGGAGAGGAAGTATTCAGTCAAAAAGCATGTGACCCATCTGGTTCATTCAGCATTTGGAACAGCTTCAGTGAGATCATTTCCACAGCCTATTCTCCAAACAACATTAAGGTTTTCAGAAAGTTTTACGATTTGCCGATTCCCTTTAAATACATAATTGCAGTGGCACTTACACTCAGCAAAAAGCAATTTGTCGTACATCGTGAATTTCAGATTTTCCAAGACTACTAGTTTCGTTCCTTCCATTTTCCTCCCTTATGTCTCTAAGCCGTCTTTCATTTTCTTCTCGTTGTCAGAACGAGAAGGTGACAGATGAGGAGGGTATAAATAACCCCTATCAGGCCTGCTTAGAGACAGTCAACTTTGGCCCCCTTTGCATACCGCCGCTCACCATGCTGTTGTACACTGACCCATCACCTCACGTCCAGCTGTCAACACCAGATCACTGTGTCCCTTGTCATCATGCAGTGTGTACGTGAGTGTGTGTGTGTGTGTGTGTGTGTGTGTGTGTGTGTGTGTGTGTGTGTGTGTGTGTGTGTGTGTGTGTGTGTGTGCAGTATACATGGGTTTGAATGGCACTTGTAATAACGGCTACTCTCAATCTGCAGCTGTTTGCGGGCGGCATGTTAAGCCCCCTGGTTATCCCACCTGTGTCTAAATTCTCTTACTATCTGTGGACTGAGGATAGTGTAAGCTATATATTTGAGTGTGTATGCAGTATGAGCGGTAGAGAGAAGAAACAAGCAGTCCAGTAAAGCTGTACATGCAACCCAAAGCATTTAGAAGATATTAAACGAATAATGTACTTGGAAAGGCTTTGACAAAATAGGAAGGCTAGAAAAAAAATGAAAAAAATGAAACCCAAACTTTATTTCCCATTTCTTGTGACCACTCTTTTGTTTACTGTATTTTTTTTTTCATTCCTGTTATACATGGGGCTGCTCTCCTCTGTTTCCTCGGTTGTTATTCCTTTTATCTTGCTGTTTCATTGTGCCTGAGCTTCTCACCCTTTCTGGATCTATTTGCAACCCCTGTGTATTCCCTCCTCAGTGATCCCACAGGCTGATTTGTAGACGTTGGTATATTTTATCTGGCCGAGGTTGAGACGTATAATCTGCCTGTCCTTTCTGCTCCCAGTTACCCTCAACCCCTCCCCACATTCCCTCATTGTCTACTGCTCCCACCATGACTCACCTAGCTTATATAAGGATTTATCTGACTCCTAAAAATAAAAAAAGGATAATCTCGACTGCCACAAATAAAACCTTCAGCTATTCAGACACGTAATGCAGCTGTATCCCAGCTTTGGGGGTCTCTTTGATGTTGCCCACCTGGGAGTCTCTCAGTGCAAATCGCTTAATGCCAAACTGATGGCAAGTGTTTGACCACCGTGCAGCCAAGAAAGTTGTAACTCTTAAAGACACAGTTTGGTGGTTTATTGTCCAGATTTAGCAAGAAATAGTTGTGAATCAAGCTATAAAAAGATGCATTTCAGTGCCTTGTATAGCTCAAGAAGCCCAAAGATCTGCGATGATCTTTGTCATAATTCCACATTTTTTAAGGATCCATACGTCTCTCTAACAATGTTATCCAACCATCGAAAGAAATCAAATCATAAACCAGTACCTTCTCCAACTTTGACCTTTAAACAGCTAGCTCACATCCTTTTCTGTTCCTCCAAACAATTAAGTACAAACAACAGTCACTAATAATAGCCTTGTGAGTGAATAATGGAATTAAATGTTCAATCAAATTAAGCACTTAATTGACAATGTTCCTGCTAAAACCTTGAGTTACCGTTTTCCAGGAAAGGAACTGTAGTTTAATTAACAGTTTGCTGTTCAACCAGACGCATTCCAGCAAGTGTAAAATGAAAAGGTAACGGGTATAGCATTCCTCTTCTATGGAGAGATATTTACAGAAACATTTCAAATCAATAAGTTGTTGCATTTACAGATATTTTGGTGCATTTGAAAAGTTTGACTGCA